GCTCCAAGGAGAGTCAGAACACTAGTGAGGTCTCTTACTGTGTCTCTTTTGGAGGGTAAAAATGACCCCCAGATCCTTGAGGTACATGTTCTCCAGCCTCAGCCCTACACYGCCTTCATATTAGCACCTGCTATTAGCAAAAAAGCACCATGGCACTAGAAAAATAGTGTGCTTGCTTAATTAAGACACACACACTCCTGTTACACCTCTGTTTTGTCCTGTGGGCATACTTTGGGAGAATGTGGAACAACAAGGTACCCTAAAAAGAGTGAGTTACACTGCTTACTTCAAAGCTGTATCTGTGCAACCAGTTTCGAAACCTTCTCAGAAATAATTGTTCAAATCAGGTTTTTTTCGAAGGAATCCAAATCAACCCTTGACTAAAGTTTTCCTGCAGCAAAAGTATCTGCTGAAAAATAGCAAGAGTTAAATAAGGTAACTACTTCCTTGAGAAAAYGAGTAGAAGGATTTTCTCTGCTTGAACTTATGTGTATCCAAGCAGATTGGCAGGGCATATGTACCAAGCTATGGCATTTGAGGCTGAAGGATGAGGTGAAGCTCCTTTTCTCTTGCCAGAAATACTCACATTTCAGTCCATCTTCTCTTGGATGATGTTTCTGGGTGTGAGAGCAAACGATTCTGCTGCAGTGTTGAAACTGGTCTGAAAAGGCAAGCAGTAGTTGTAGGGAAAGAAACACAAATCTGCAGTATAACTAGAAAATTGTCCCCAGTCCTGCATTAGGATTAAGTGATGCCTATAGCTAGGTAGTTCTTGGGTCAACGTCAGAGTCAGACATAAAATGATGCTATTTGAAACTTTCCACTATACACAGGGTCACATTAGCATTTTCAGATGCCAGTGCCATGCTGGAAGCGGGTATATGGTTGATTATCCACCATGTCCTTCAGCTCTTCTTCCTCCTCTGAGTTCCTGCTTCTCACAGAAGTCGGAATTTAGGCAACGTGCATTTAACTAGACTAAATGCCTCTTGTTTATTAATTCCCAGTATGCATATTGATTCAGATTTCTGAGTTTCAACTTTCCTACCTTTTGTCCTTATTTTCTGTGAAATGTGCTGAAATTTTTTAGTCCTTTGATAAAAATGCAAAATATTGAAGTGCTGAGGATCTCATTGTACTCTTCACCTACCTAATATGTAGTTGTAGAAGGGCCAGCACCAGGCTTTCCTCAGACGACCATAAAGTAGAAGACACGACAGGCATAGACTACAGCACCAGAAATTCCAACATACTTCAGCACTGAAAGAAAGCCTGGAAGGGGCCGCTGGAAATGTGTATATTTATGTTTTTCTCTGCCCTGCACTCCAAAATGGTTTGCAGACATACTTCAGTCARGTGCTCAGAGGTTAACCATGCCTTACAGATAAACTGCATTCTGAATATTACTTGTTGCCACTGACTCTAAAAGCGGCCACGGTTCAAAAACGAGTATCTAGTGTTTAAAGGATTGAAGTTGATTGAAAGATTGAAAGACTCTGCACCAGAGTCTGTCCTTAGGGCCCTTCCCACGGAGGGGGTATTTTTCGGGCCCAGCAGCTGAGGATGGCTCCGGGATGCGCCACCTCCCTGCCGCCAGCCGCTCCGAGGGCACCGGCTGAAAGGACAGGGCCCCCCCTGGGGGCAGCAAAAGAAACCTCATGCCCGGAGCTCCGGGGCTGTTGAAAGGGAGGGCGGGGACACGCCGAGGAGCTGCCTACGACTCCAATTTTCACCAGCAGCAAATAAAAGAGCCTTTCCTAGGAGCAAGATTAGCGTTTAATGGCAATCCCGCCTGTCGGGTTCCGAGCGCAGCCTCCCGGCAGCCTCCTGCGATCTCCTCTGCACCAGCAGTGCCCCGGCGCCCTACACGGCTCTGGARCGCGAACTTTCCCCTTTTGGACCTMARAGCTGTGGGACACCGCCAGCAGGACCCAGTGATCCCCACGACCCGTTTGGAAACCCGCTAAGGACAAGGTTATTAAAGCAAACACGGGCGGTGACCGCAGCGGGGGCTGCAGCGGCTCTGTGAGGGGAGGCCGGGGCTGCCCCAGCCGGACACGGCCGGTTCCAGCCGGACTCAGCCGGATCCAGCCGGACACAGCCGGTTCCAGCCGGACACAGCCGGTTCCAGCCGGACACAGCCGGATCCAGCCGGACTCAGCCGGTTCCAGCCGGATCCAACCACCCAGCGCAGGACACGGCTGCGCCCAGGGCCGGGTCAGCGCTGGGGAATATTTTTAAGAAGGGACAAAAAACACTGCCCCGCAGAGTGACAGAGAAAAACCGGGAGAAACAGCCCTGGGAACACAAAAGGAGAAGGAGGGGAGAAGGCAGAGGAGTCGGGAATGAAGKAGAGAGGTTGACCCTGAGAAGAAGAGGAGTAGGAGGAAGATGTTCAAGTTTCTTTCTTTTTCACCAGCCAACTATATTAATTGGTAATAAAGAATTTTTTCCTCAAATCAAATCTGTTTTGCCTATTGTGGCAATTGGCAAATGATACTTAAGCGTAGAAGTAKCTGTCAATTGCCAGCTGGAAGCAGTGTTAGGAATCCTCTGGTCAGTCAACTTGGCTAGTTTCTCCTGAATTTCACGTCTTGCTTTTTTTTTATTTTTTTTATTTTTTTTTTGTTAGTGTTGCTATAGTCAGGTGTGAAGACATGCCACAAGAAGCATGCAGGAGACTTGAAACATTCTTATGAATTGCTGATGCTTCTTTTGCCCATTCAGATGTGCTCACCCAAATAGTAAAGTTCCATTGGAATTAACTGCAGTCTACCAAACATCTCAAGCACAATGCAGAGTAAGATCCCACACAGTCATCAGAAACCATAACTCATCCCAAAGCCAATATTCCGTGCTCTCTACATTGAGAATTATCCCAGTTTTTTCAGTGGAAAATGAACTTGCCATTCCATTGTCAAAGAGTGTTTTAAATCAAAAATGGTTGTYTAAGATCACAACCCTTACTTCCATTAAGCATAATTTACCTGGCTGTCAGGTTGATTTGTACATAAATGGGTCTTYCCAGAGCAAGAGTTGAAGAAAACCCTAAGTCCTTCTTGGAGAATGCATCAATACTGCCTAACACCTAAGTGTTTTATGATGGTTAAGAGTGAAACAAATCCTGGTTATTATGTGTTCTTAATTTTTAGCCAAGAATTACTGGGCCAGCAACCTTGAGAGACATAGGAGAAACAGCAACAAACATCTGTGTATTTTACTGCTACTGTCTTGAAGGCTGGTAACAGAACTGAAGAGCTCTGATGTTGTGAAAGCATTACTGAAGTCAGCCAACACCATAAATAATTATTGCTAGAGGTCTTACCAGAACTCAAGGTTGCTCAGTAAAAAAAAAAAAAATGTTTTGTAAAAGACTTAGATTAAACTGATTTTATCCCTAGTTTGCCCAGAATATGGAAGGTCACAATAAGAGTCTGTAAACCTGCTGCTCTTTACAGTGTAGTTAGAAACTAAACTGGCAAACCTGCATGGGAATATCAAAAGGTTATGAGACAGGGTTAAACCACAGCACTCACACCATGTAGCCCTGCCACACAGCATAAGCAAATATGGCTGTAGATTTTATATGGAGAAGTCCACACGATGTATAAACACTGTTACATGTCTTCATTTCAAAATAAATCAAGAAGTAAAAAAAAAAAAAAGAAACAGAACAGAAGTTCTCAATAATTTACAGAAATATCAGGAAATGAACCATCACTTGGAGCATTACAGGGTATGTTGACATTAGTGGTCTGGAACAGGAGGATGTTTAAAAGATTAATTTCTTAACTGTGCTTTGTTCCCATCACAGTGCGATCTTAGACTGTATAAATTGTATTCTTTCTGGATGAAATTAAACTGAAAAATGTGTTCCATTGATGAAATTAAACTGAAAAATGTGCTTCAAGAGTGTACCAGATGCAGTTTCAGTGGCTTTCAATCCACACAACCACTCTTGAGCTATGCTGAAGTTAACTCTGTCCCAAACACAGTGTTGATGACAAGGYATCAGGACCAATTGTTCTTCTGCTCACATTTATTGCTGCTGTGCCACTCTGTTTTCTAAAAGGCATAACCATCAGCTGTTAGGCCTATCACCAGTAAGTTCAAGCAGAGGCACTTTCTACATCTGCTGCATCTTTGCTTGTGGAACTTTTGAACAGCATTACACCACAGCCTGCCTCATATTGTGGAGGAGAAGTTCACTTAGCAAAGGTATTATGCTAAACAACTATAGGGTTTTCCAAACTTTTCTATTAAACTAATCTAAGATTAAACCAAGGACTAAACTGTAATTGCAAATGACATTCCATTAGCTGATGAGCTACTGTGGATCAGTACAAACTTTGTATACAATGAGGGAAAAGGGTTTTGTAGCACTGAAAACTTCAATTGTGCTGAAGCTGGAGAGACTGATCAACCCTCAAACGGGTAACTTGTTCATCAAATAGCAGATKAATGAACTTTGTACATCCCAGCGTCAAGCAGCATCTTATTTCTCAACCCATAGCTAACACAGGAATAAACCAGTGCCATTGGAATTAAGCACAAGTCTTTTCTTGTATGCTGCATCATTAATGTAGAACTATAATTGACAAATATGAAACCCCAAGCTAACATCCTGCAGAGCAGCTTTTCAAACCACAAGTGTAATTTGTTAAAGTGATTAAAACCGTTTTAAATTCCTTTGTCTAGTTGTCTGTGGAAACCGCGAAGTTAAAAAAAAAAAAAAAGAAAAAAACCAACATTTTGAGTTTGGTTGGTACYAGATAGGAGCCATATCAGGAGCCTTAGGCAGGAGCTGCATCAGGTTTGTGTGATGGTTTACTACCTCTCTTTCACGTCTCCATTCTCTTTTTTATAAACACACACAAAATACACCTTTCCTTCAGGTGTATGGGTTAACAAGGACCCTCTTAATATCAAATATAAAGAAAAGATAAAATTATGTTTGCTAGCCCCAAACTTCATTAATGAGACAACAGGACAATGTGACTACATAAAAAGTTTATTTGATTAGTACAGGTCCTAATATAGCAGTTAAACATCATTTGGCAGTCAATTTATTTCCTAATTCAGTAATAAAAGTGCAGCCTAGTTATAAAGGCACAGTCACTGATGTCCAGAAGAACTGGCAAGAGAACCATCTCCCTTCTACTTTTTTTAAAACCACTTGTTTCATTTACCAAGTGATATTAAAGAACATATGAAAATCTGACCTGGATCTCAGAACAAAGTCCTCAGAAACAGCACAACATGCTGAAGCTATCAGTCAGCTTACTTTTCTCTTTTTTTGCTATTCCACAAAGTGTCTAAGAAGACAGTGTTCTTGCTGCCATTTCACTTGCTTGAAATTACCAGAAATCTCAAGTTGAATGAAGGAGAAAATAGGCTAATACTGAAGTGTTATAAAAGTTACCTGCCTACTGTATTTTGTGTGAGAGCATGAGCTCCTGCCCATTGAAATGCCTCTCGAACACCCCTTCACCTTCCTTCATAGTGTAATTGGACATGTGCAATCTGGCAGTTCTCTTACAGCCTGTGGCCACACAAACTAATTTGCTTTTATATCATAATACATGCGGAGAACTCTCCTCACAGTCTCCACATATTTATCATCGGGAACTGGCTTCCTCTGGCTTCCTGGCTCAAGAAATTTCTTGATTGTGGGGATGCTGCTGATCCTTGCTTTAAATGCCTAMAAGGCAAACAGTAAGTACATGGTATTTAAAGAACAGAAAGTAACACAAGAAAAAAAACCTATTTTACTGATTTGTGTAACATCCTTTAACAAGCTGTACATGGAGACAAGACAGGAAATATGATTTTAACTGTAGATGAATTTTACTCCCACTCACTTCAACCCTTTTATTTTCCACAGTAACAAATCAGCCCTCTGTCTTGTATTGATATGGGATGAAGTTTTAACATTATCTGTGGTTTATGAGTATATTACTCAGATCAGTTCTTGTGATCCAGAAAGTGTCTTCTGCTTAAAAGTATCACAGAACTGTGAGGAGAGGCAAAAAAAGAAAGGGGGAGGGGGTGTGCATTTCTTCAGATGTGTACAGGAATTCCTTCAGAAAATAACAGTTTCTATAGATGAAACAACTTACAAGGCTCTTCCGAAAACAGGAAAAGTAAGACTACAATGAAAAAGTGACAAATGTTTTGTGGAATTTTCTACACAAAACAGACTTTGAAATATCACATTTACGGCCATATGAACATCTTGTCAGTGCAAAGTACCTGTAATTGAGGGAAGCCTGAGAGCACATCTGACTTTTTCTCTTCTACCATTAAAATGGCTTCAAGAAGGTGAACATCTGCCCAGCTAAAATTGTTGCCAACGAGGAAGTCTTGCCCATGGTCTTTCAAAACCTAGGAATGTCATAGATCAAAACACTCAGGTGTGGACAGCCAGCTGAGGTTCATGTTTTCAAAATGCAGAGGCACATCTTCTTTGACAATACTGTCTCCTTTTCACCCTTCTTTCACATCCAGCTAACAGGAGGGAACAGGGGATGTGCCAGCAGCCACTGACCATGTTACAGCAGAAATCWAGCATGCCAGGGTTTTTCTTACCCATCCTTTCTCCTATAGCTAGGTAGATAACCCTGTGTACTGGACTAAGGGTTAGACAACTCCTTGCCATTCMCACTTTTCAAGTCTAATGTATCTTAACTTTTTCTATATGTAGTCAGCTTCAGTGGGAAAATAGGGAACATAGAAGAGAGGTGATCAGCCTAAAGCACTGGGGCTAAGATGCAACAAGTGGAATCTAGGGCAGAATGCACTCTTGCAACTACCTATAGGAGACCTGGCAAAATGGAAAACTGTCTTCTCTTTAATCTTGAAAACAGAGAGGCACCTGTTCCTGCCTGATCATCCTGTCTGTGCATATTAATTTCCATTGAGAGTACCTCTAGCATCCTATTTCTMAAAGTATCAGTTAGAAAAACACCAAGATTCCAGTATGGCTAGAAGTCAGCAGTGATAGCAGTGTACTATTGTATTAAAAAAAACCCAAAACCACAATGTATTTGAAACGTTAAAGAAGACAATTAGTACTGCTTTTACAATGCAAGTTACTGTGGTGGGTTGACCCATCAACTGGACACCAGGTGCCCATCAAACCTGCTCCATCACTCCCTTCTTCACCTTGACATGAGGGAGAAAATACATCAAAAGGCTCCTGGGTTGATCCACCTCAACTTGTCTGATACTGCTGTGACACCCCACCAGCTGACAGTCTGGATGTCCTGGTATAAAGTACTGCACTGACACTTTTGCTTCTGGTTGTGGTGAAATACCCAGTGTTCCCATTGTCATCCCTCCAGAATCAGGGAAGAAAATSATCCTCCTACATACCTTTTCATATACTGGGAAATACCTGCTTGTTGCCTTTTGAACTATAAAAGCACGTTGTTTCTCTTTATCCTCCGCTGATAAGAAAGGGAACATCAAAATGAAGCCCATAAGGTCATCAGTTCCTCCAACATACATATCAATCCTTAAAATGAAAGAAAACAAAAACCTTAAATAGAAGGTACTTCAGACGCAGAATTACCTTATGCTTGTTTTAGAATAGTAAAAATTAGTAAAAATTCAATTTTCCATCCCCCTCATGGAAATTATTTCTGCAATTAAAAAAAAATATATCACAGTCTGAGTCTTGTATTTGTAGTGGTTTTGGCTCTTTCCTTGCTTCATTGTGCAAGATTAAACAGGATTGCACAGAGATTAAGGGTATAACTCTGATGTTGCAGATCACTTCAAAATCACCAGAGAAACACACAGCACCAGAARGAGTCATTACATCCTGACTTGTCTGGATGCATTCCACCTTCTGAATTGCAACAGAAGTCCAAGTAATGCCAAATAGATTAATAATGAGGTTGGAAGTCTGAAGAATACCAGATTCTTCGTCCAGCTAAATTATCAGTACTGCAGTTCTTCAGATTGTCTATTTTCCAGAGCTACGAGAGCAGGTTTTGTACTGTAGATGGGCATTTAAGATGCTACATACTGACATAGCTCAATCATTTTTTTCTTCATAGACACAACATCAAGATGTAATTTCACATGGATGTTATTTCATACCAATAGTTTTTCAACAGCTTTTAGCTGTTCTTTCCCCAGCTCCCAAAGAYCTAAACTACGCACTTTTTACAGTGCAGTGGGACATCATGCAATCACAGATAATGTCACTGRCAGCTCTTGTTTTGCAGCCAAATGTTAAAAACTAACCATTTCTTTCCAGAGTTTTCTGATTACAACAGTAGTTCAGTAGCTACATGCCAGTCACCGCTTGAATACCTGTGTCAGGCTGTATTAATCTTTCATTAAGGCACAATAAACCCCWGCCTCAAATATTTTTATGTGAAAAGTATCTGAGTTAGAACAAATAAGTCGGCTTGCATGTAACTGTGGCCTCTCCAGCTCACTGCAAGTTGTGGATCACTGAGGCACACGAGTGATTCTGTGTGTGTGCAACTATGAAATTAATTCTAGATGCATCTGAGCTACTCTAATAAGTTTAAGAAGAGTAATACTATTACACACAAGGCTCTTTCCTTTAGGTCYTTCCCATAGAGGTTGTACTTTGCTGCAATGTAGCTGAGGATGGCTCTGGTCTGCACCATCTTCATCCCATCGATCTCYACCATGGGCACTTGCTGAAACATCAGGGATCCACCTAAAAGGAAAGACACACATTATTCTACTGATCTAGTAACTCCACATCACATTTCTTGCTGTCTTCAGAAGATTGTTGCTTTTATGGTCAGCTTGCTGAGGGTAGTCACTGTGTTAAACTGGAGTTCTTCCACGCAAAGAATAAATTACAGTTTGTGAAAAAAAAATTAAACTGAAAAACACAATTATTCTGGGTACCATCCTTCCTTAAAAAAAAATTCACTGAAGTTGAAGTACAGCAGCTTTTAGAATGAAATTGAAATGCAGTAGAGACAATCATAGTAAACATCTCAACCAAGTAAAAAWTGTTGGGTTCTAAACAATGTACAGAGATTCTGTTCCATTATTCAAACACTATTTGAAGCAAATGTTAGATTCACAGATTTCTCTCTTATGACCAATTTTTAAACTAAATCAGGACATAAAATGAAASTTTGGRATWTTTTCTAATTATTGAAGCCYRTGGTTAMGTTTGTGGGACCAGGTGGGATGGGTAGACAAATAAATAGAAGAGTCCAGAGGCCTGGGAAACCCTTCAGYTGGAAAGATATTCAGTTTGCAATTTCATCTGTAYACATATGGAAAWAACAGCCTCTGCAGYWGCTTGCAGCCCTCAGCTTTACTCCYTTTACTTTACWTTCTMTTCTGTGTGGAAAGGGAGTCYCACACAATCTTCAAAGAMTTCATACATCTTTTCTAAGTCTGGYCACATGSTTYTCTTGAGATTTCACATGGACTCACCTTGCAGGAGCTTCTCATATTGCTCTCGGGTTTCCAAAAACTCTTCTTCAAACTGACAAAATAGAGAGARGAAAATGAGCAAGTAATAATCTTTTCACATTTCTAGAAGAGATAAACTTTTTAAACACAATAAAAGGAAAATAATTACATCATGGTTCCTTCCATTACAGATATTGCTCTAAAAGAGAACATATCCAGGACAGAAGTGCTGGTAAAATCTCTTGGACTGTCATACTTGATAAATGCTGCTAAGGGCAACCCTAGCAAAACAGGCAATAAGAACTAGAGTGAGGATGGTTTGTTTGGTATTGAACAGGCAATTTAATTAACAATAATCAACAACACAATAAAGCTGTCYTTAAAATGCTTTCTGGAACATGGAAAAARGCTATGCTATGGGAAATTTTGATTTGGGAGCTAGACAGGAACAAATTCTTCAGAAGTTAAAGCTTTTACAAAGTAATGTAAARGTAGCTTACTGTAGAAGTTTGCTGAATCAGCATCTCTCTTAACATCTGTGGTACTCATATTAGTCCTTAAGAGTTACTCTACTAGGGAAACCCCAGAAGATTAGGCATATTACTATATTGCCAATGTTCAACCATAGAAGTGTGATCACAGTCTAAAATTCAGAACCCAGGTTTCTGCTGACGAGAAGACAGAAAAAGAATATTCCAAGGAAAAATGTAGGAATTGGTACCCATAATAAGGGGTATTTTTAAATTAAAAAAAAAGAGAGAGAGGGACTTAAAACACAGGAACAAATGATGGAGAGACACAGACAGTTCTGTCTTCTGTAAGGCTTTCAAATAAAGACTGGTGGTCTTTTTAAAAAACTTGTACTCCTTGATACACTACACAAGAAACTGTATCCACTGTTACAGCTTATTGTATAAAAGAGGACCCTCAGCAAATACTAGTTCTTTCTGTCCTCAAACTCTATTACGAGTTTACCACCAAGATGAATAGGAAATGAATAAATTATATACCAATCAGAAATAGTTATTTTAAAGTGGTATCTTGCTTCTCTGTTTTACCCAAATACTTTTCCTCCTGCACAGAGATTTCCAATTTCCCTACACATGTGGGTCAATTTGCTCACTTCACTCTGCTAAGCTTCATCTAAATGATGCAAGACACAACATATTTTGTGTTACAGCTTGTTATGGAGGATGCAGCCAGTGGAGTGAAAAATAAAGCAAAAATCTCTGTGTGAGCATTCAACTGAAAACAGAAAGACTASAGAAAGTAAATTGCTGTTTTACTTGGCACAGATAACACTTGTTATGCCAGGAACACATCTATCAGCTCAGCAGCTCTGGGTCACTAATCAAGTACTTAATTAAGGATTGCATTCTTGTGTTAAGCAAGAATCTGTTATACAGTGTCACTGCTCAGAAGACATGTAACTTGAATCCATGCTTTTGTGTCTAAAGTAAAAGTATTTAATTACACTGAATACCCAATGCTCCTTTATTATTGCATTATTGCATCTTGGGATGCCTTTTCTTTTTTGACTAATATCATGTGATCTGCCTTAAAGACMAGCTTACCAATGTGCAGCTGAAAGTTAAAAGCTCTAAAAACAAACCTCRACCCCGGCTGCAGCCAACAACCAACGAATCGACTCCATCTTGCCTCTTCCATCAAAGTAGTAAAGTTTMGGTTTTCCAGACATGACTTCAAACTTCCTGTTACCTAAAACAGTTATAAGAGATTGTAAGTTAAATACACAAATAATGCAGGAATAATGGTTCACAGGTCACTCACACAACAAAAATGTAAGTTAATTTTTGACAAAATATTTCAACAAAGTTTCACTGTAAAGTGATTATATTGCTGCACAGTCAAGTCAAATTATTTCACAGACTTTTCATCCCCCTGAAATTCAGGAAAAGTAAGCATCAAGTTGCTAAGTAGGAGATAAGAGAAAAAAAAGAATTGCCCCTAAGAAAATCCTTAAAAATTTATAAAATGTAAGTTTKAGTACTAAAGTTTCACAGACACCACTGAAAGCCAAGTCTTGATCAAAGAGAAGAGGCAGTGGACCAGGTTTCCAAAAGTGGCAGACCTTGTGTCAAAGAATGCCAAAAGTATCTAAACATTAATTCTACATATGATTAAGTGAAGCATGGGAATGTATTTTAAGCCTCTTGCTTTTTTTTTTTCTAGCTGTAGTGATCCAGCCTTCAGTAGAAACTTCAGAAAAATGGCCTGTTTCTCCTGTAATAATCCAGATTAAAATACAGAGATTCAGTGTTACACTACTTAGCCTTCTACAGGTCGCATTTCTTTCTATTAATAAATCCTGTTGCTATGCAAAACTTTATGGACTTTTCAGTTGATCAAATATACCATGCTTTGCAAGAGCACTTTAGTTCTTTAATGAAATCATAAATTAAGCTATTAATTGTTTTGGGTTTTTTTTTAAAGAGTAGTGTTTAGGTCTCAGCAGGAACTGAATTCCACTGTRGAGCCTAAGCCAAGAGAGCAATCAAATTTCATCATACTGGCATTTCATATGCRGAACTCCACAACAGCAARTCCTTGCTGCAACTGAGAGCTRTTTTCCCTTTGTAAKGAGATTTCTTGTCACTTCAATCCACAGTTCAAATAATTCGGGAAAAGAGGCTGTTGGCATGCAAACAATAACCCCCAGTTTTCAATGTTCCAAGGGTTCCTTCATAAGCGGAGGGAAAAAAGACCTTGAGCACGCACAAAGTGATCCGCTTGTTAGCCAACAGGCATGAAAAGAAAACACAAAATATGAAACTACATCAGACCATGGGAATTCAAACGAGCCAGGCTATTTCACCCACGCCTGCTCGGGGGCCTCTAATTGCTCCTAGGTAAGTCACAGGGAACTAAAACACTGCCAAATAGTATCTCTACTGCTGATAAATATAGCAGTGAATTAGAAACACACAAAAAGACAGAAGAAAAGTATCAGTATGAACTACATACAAGAACAGAATGAAACAGGAGCTACTCGTAATACAGCTATATTCACAGAGAAAGAAGAAAAAAGACAAAGGTGATTTTTAACTTGTAGCTAAAAAAAMCTGAAGATACAGAAAAGTCACTTTTCCTCAGTGCACCTTCCAGAGACCTGCTCTTAGCCGGCCAGTAGACAGATCCCAGGACATAAACAAATCACTGATGCCCAGAACACCTCAATGCAGAACAGGCAAAWGGAAGATAAAGGCATAGTGAGTGCTTGTCTTGAAAACACCAGGGGATCAACAAACTTTCAAGTGAGCTGTAGCATCCTAGGTTCCTAGGACTCAGCCTGCCATGCCATACTGGAAGGGAAAGTCCGACTTGTGAACTGAAATCTGRTGGAAAGAACACCCTTTCTAGGTGATGGGCAAAGAGCTTCTTCCTTCTCCACCCTTCATCAGGAGGGAAAGTGGCAATTTGCAGCCAGAAGCCTCAAGTGCTGTAAGCGGCTATCCATTCCCCTCAGCCTGACACCTCAGCAGCAAAAGGGAATTTGGGAAAAGCGTGCTCCCTTGCTGTGYTTTATGAAAGCCATCTGGACTAACRGGGGGAATGAGGGAACATGAATATCAGTGCAAGAAGCGATCGCTGTCACGCTAGGAGAACACGGACCAAAAGAACATCAGTGAAGTGGCCCAGGGGACAGCTGTGCCTGGCAGGTCCCCGCAGATCCAGGACTCCAGGGCCCGATTTTCCCTGCCTGCTTTCAACACCCCAACAGCGGTTTCACTGCGCACCCGCAACACCAACCCGGGGGCACATCCGTGCTCAAGGTGTGACAGGCAGCAGCCCCCGGGGCCATCAGCTCCCASCCCTCCTGGGGACAAGCTCTTGGCAGACACGGGATGACAAGCGGGACAGGGAGAGCCCGGGAAGGGGAGCGGATCCACGGCTCAGCCCTGAGCCCGGCACAGACTCCGCTTCCCGCTTTAACTGAGCCAAGCGAGCCACAGGCAGTGGTTGGCGGGGGGGGACGGGATGAGAGAAATCCCAGGGGCCCGCATTACTCACAGACACGGAAGATCAGAGCGATGATACCAAGCGAACACACGGCGCCCCAAAGCAGAGCACTCCCGCTGTCCCGCTTATAGCAGCTACCGCCGCCGGGCCCTCCCCGCCCCGCCCACGGGGCCGTAACTAGCKGAACAACTGCCAATAGGAAACCAAAACTCTGCATATTTGCAAAGGCTTCTGGGAAGATTTGTAACCCAAAGAATTTCGCTAAAACCTTTAAACTGGTTAGGAACCCGTTTTTCTCGGAAGGTTTTCTCGTTGAAGAATGATAATCCTATGCGCTGTGTTACGGGAGTCTTGAGCCTAGTCAAGCACCATAACGTGAAGAGCATCGAGGATATCGAGGTATAAATATTTCCGTGCGAAATGTATTTGTCTGGATGTGAGGGCGATCTGGCTGCGACATCTGTCACCCCATTGATCGCCAGGGTTGATTCGGCTGATCTGGCTGGCTAGGCGGGTGTCCCCTTCCTCCCTCAACGCTCCATGTGCGTCCCTCCCGAAGCTGCGCGCTCGGTCGAAGAGGACGACCTCCCCGATAGAGACGGTACCGTTCATCGGTCAAGGGTATACGGTAGCTGCGCTCCCCTGCTAGAACCTCCAAACAAGCTCAAGGTCCATTTGTAGGAGAACGTAGGGTAGTCAAGCTTCCAAGACTGCAGACACATCCAAGTGAGGCGCTGCATGGGGCAGTTTGCCATTGTTTTGCTCTCAAAACAGGCACCATGTTGGTTTCAGTTTGCATATACGAATATGCACGTTCCTCTTAACTGAGGGTGAGTTCACTGAGGATGTGTGCAAATCCTGTCTTTTATTTCACTTYATCGTTTCTCCAGTTTCCGCAGTCACCTACAAATCCGTGAGCTCCTCACTCCCTACCTGGTAAAACCAGGAATCCTTGCACACRTAAACGTATTTTTCACCTAGTTCTGCATCTGTGCAAATGGTTTTCAGCCCACTTAAAACAACTAACAAAAGGTCTGGGTTTGTAAATGTAAACTAACTTCAGCTTCTATGCCTTGAAAGCCAGGGGAAAAGGCTGAAAGAGAGGTGATACACTGAAAACAACTTGAAATAAATATAGAAATAGAAA